ACAACGAGGACGACGACGGCAGCAGGAGAGCAACAAGAGGAACCCGAACTCTCGGCGTGCTGCGCGGACATCTCCGATCGGCGCCGGACATCCCCCCCCACCCCGGGATGGCGCCTCCTCGGCGCCGCCCCGACTCCGCTCCGCGCGCCGGGGAGGGGGCCCGACGCCGATGCAAGAGACCCTGCGGCCATATCGTGCGGCCATCCGCACGCTCACGCCGGGCGTCTTCTGCGAGGCCAGGAGGGCGACGAGGGCGAAGCCGACGACGAGGACGCAGAGAGGGTCGGGCGTGGACGAGTCCGGCTCAGCGCAAGCCGGGCTCAACCAATCCAGGAAGAGTGCGCTGCAGTGTTGAAGGGGCCCTGGGACACACACAAAAAAAAATAACGGGATTCCCCGTACTTCCCCATACCTTCTGGGTTTCTGTCTTCCCCCCCACTGCCCACATCTTTTCCCATGTTTTCTGGGGGATCGACGATCACTCGTGTCTGCGTGATTTTTTTCTCCCCTGAAGGATGGTAGGCAGCCTCTGGGGACGCGAGCCGCTCTCCCCGAACCGAGCCCTGCCGAACTAAGAGGTCCCTGCGGGCCATACAGTCACCGTGCAGCCACGGGGGACGCCAGGTAATGAACGGAGGGGCGTTGCTTTAAGAGCCTGTTTTTTTGGATTCGGGCAAGTTTACTTGCATGGCGTTCGCCCCCCCCCCCCCCCCCTCGCCCCTCTTCAAGCGAACACGAGCGTGCAAGTGCCTTTCGACTTGCGTGATTTCCGCAAGTCGAATTGTTTTCGGCTTGCTTCAGACTCAGCCCCCCCCCCCGTCCATGCAAGTAAACTTGCCCGAATCTAAAGAAAAACAGGCTGTCGGGCGTGTTCCCCTACAGGGAGATGTTCGACGGAAAAGTTAAAAATACTCAAACATTACTCCAAAAATGGTCAAACAAGACTCCAAAAACAGTCCCCAGAGGCTTCCGAAATGGGGTCCGAGCAGATGGGATCGGAGGACCGCGCCGCATCGCCAATTGCATCGGCGACTCATCGGCGACGTGGGTGTGAACAGAATAAGGCTCCACATCGAGCCGCATAGTCGATGCATCGGCGATGGGGCGCGATCCTCCGACTGCTTCTACTCGGACCCCATCTGGAAGACCTGGACTGAAGGAACGGCCAGAAAACCAGAGCCCCTCAGCACCAAGTGGTCCTCAGTCCCGCGTCTGGACTGTACTGAGTTCTAGCTGAGCCCCGTTTGCGCTAGCCCGGTGATCTGCCGGCTGCGACGGGTTGGCCGCATGGCCCACGGGGCCATCGCGTCGTCGACGCCGACGCCGACGCCGACGCCGACACCGACGCCGCCGACAACGAGGACGACGACGACGCCGACGACGCCGACGCCGACGCCGACGCCGCCGCCGACGACGACGACGACGATGACAACGCCGACGCTGACGCCGCCGCCGCAGCCGCTGACACCGACGCCGACGCCGACGCCGACGCCGACGCCTTCACCTTCGCCGACGCCGACGCCGACGCCGACGCCTACGCCGACGCCGACGCCGACGCCGACGCCGACGCCGATGCCGCCGCCGCCGCCGCCGACGACGACGACGACGACGATGAGGGGCACGCGCAGCCGCGGCCTTGGGATCGCCCAGGCGTCAGCGGGGATGGCGTGCCCGTTCTTCATGAAACCGAGCGCGGGCCTGCCAGGTGCCCGTCTCGCCGCTGCCCTCCCCCCCTGCCTTCTCCTGCAGACTTCCTGCCCCTCCAGGCCTGCCCCTCCTCCTCCTCCCCCTCCTCCTAATTGTCATTCCTCCTCATCCTCCTCCTTCTACTTGCTCCTCCTCTTGCTCCTCCTCCTCTTCCTCCTGAGCTGCTCCTGCTCCTCCTCCTCCTCCACCTCCTCACCAGAACTCCTCCTCCTCCTCCTCCTCCTCCTCCTCCTCCTCCTCCTCCTCCTCCTCCTCCTTCTCCCCGTCACCATCACTCCTCCTGCTCCTGCTCCTCCTCCTCCTCCTCCTGCTCCTCATCTTACAATTCCAAACCTCCTCATCCATCCTCCTCCCGGCCGCTGGATAAGAACAGGTCATACAAGAGCACAAGAATTCGGAGCTTCGTGCGGATCTTTTTGGCTAGCGCCGCCCAGGACGGTCCAGCGCAGACCCGAGAAACCCGCGCGCAGCTCCGCATCGAGGAGGTTAGCCACTGGAGCCCGAACACGAAGAAACATCACAAGGACCCGCTCAGGACCCCAATCCTTCACCCTCCTCCTCCTCCTCCTCCTGCTCCTCCTCCTCTTTTTTGTTTGACGTTGCTTGGACCTTATGCGTCAGCATGTGGCGTTCGTCCTCCTCCTCGTCCTCCTTCTCACTGGGTCGCGGGGGGCCGGCTCTCCAGGTCGATCAGCGCCACGACGACGTCCCCCTTGCCGTACGTCTAGCCGTACCTGTCCCAGCCCTCCTTCTCACTGCCAGCGCAGGCCAGCACGAGGAGAGCGAGGGGTGCCTACTCTGACCAGGGTAGGAGACCGCTCCGCTGGAAGCTCCAGGGCGAAGGGAAGGGGCGACAGCTGCGCGCATGGCAGCGCCCAGGGAGGACGAACGAGACACAGTCCCAGACATGCGACGTCCTGATTTTTTTAAGACGGCGTCCCTGAGTCCCGACCTTTTCCCCAGGACCGGTTTTTCGTCCTGAGTCGTCCTTTGACGGTCCCGAGGCCCGGCGAGGGCCCCCAAGGGCCAAAGATAGTGAAAAATGTGCCGTCCTGATTTTTTTGCGACGCTATCATGTCTGGGGTGGGACCCAGGCCAGAAGAACATCCGTCAAGAACATGATACCCTCCTCTGGCCAACACGCACAGATCATCCAACTGTTCGCCGCCGGCGAATCACGTCCACGGCGACGCCGACAGGATCCTGCCCAGTCTGCGGGCAGGTTGTGTATCCATGCCGACTGCGTCTTGGACTTTCTGGGAAGGGGCGCCAAAAGGCTGAGGCGCAGTGGATATGGATAAACACCTAGCCTCTCGGGGCAGGTCGCCATCCACATCCACTGCGCCTTGGGTTTCTGGGGGGATGAGCTCGACATTCCAAGATGCAGTGGATATGGATACAACTGTAGCATGGGTGAACGGGCCCCGAGGGAAACGGATCCTGGACCCTGGGGCCTTCCCCAAGGACGAGTTTTTCATCCTGAGTCGTTTTCTGACGATCCCGGGGCCCGCGGAGGGTCCCGAGAGCCCGAAAACGGCAAAATGTGCCAGGGCCGGTTTCTCTCAGGACCTGTGCCCCCCATGGCGAACAGATCTTGCCCGCCCGCGCACAGGTCGGCTACACGCAACAGTGACCATGGGTAAGAGTGACCTTTGGTGCGCGGCTTGTTGGGGGCCGCGGGGGGGCCAAAAACAAGCGCACAAGACGCCACTGCCGCCTCGCGTTCGGCGATCGCGGGAGCCCAGTGGGCCCGCACCAAAGGTGACTCTGGCGAAAAGTCACTCTTACATCCAGTCGAACGAACACTGGGCAGACCCCCCCCAGACCCCCGACGTCATGAATGTTTCATGACGTCGGGCCCCAAAGAAGCCTCGACCCGTTCCCCGGCACAGGCTTGTCATCCTGAGTCGTTCCTTAACGGTCCCGAGGGCCAGGGGCCACCAGAGGCCGAAAACAGCAAGACACCTTCCGTCGTGATTTTTGTGTCACGACTGTCCGAGCAGGTGGGGTCGGAGGATCGCGCCGCACCGCCGATGCACCGCCGATGCACCGGCGACGTCCGCGATGCATCGGCGACGTCGGAGTGGAGAACATCGGGCTCCGCATCGAGTCACATCGCCGATGCATCGGCAATGCGGCGCGATCCTCCGACCCCATCTAATCCCAGACACCCGACGTCCTCACCTTCTCAATACGCGGCCCCCGGAAGTCCCGATCCTTTCCCCGTGACTGGCCTTTCATCCTGCGTCGTTGTTTGACGTTCCAAGGGCCTGGTGAGGGCCTCTAGAGGCCGAGAACGACGAAACACTTCCGTCCTGAACTTTTTACGGCGCGATCTCTGCGATCGGACCCCGTCTGGAAGGCCTGCAGGAGCACGCTGCCGCCCAGACGTGCCGGCGTCGTGGCAAACAAGAGCCTCGACGGACAACCCCTGGTCGTTGTCGGCAGCCGGGGGGCCGTTGCCATGCGCCCCGGGACCGTCAAAAGAAACGACCCGGGATTAACACTGAGGCCATTCTCTGGGCAAGCGCACCGATCCTCGGCCCAGGATCGGACTGGCCAAGTTCGGCGCAAGCGCGCTGTCGGCTTTCCCCGACGGCGGAGGAGGCGCGGCAGCGGCGACATGAGCAGGAGCAGAAGGAGCGGCGACACGAGCGGCCCGTGGGCCCCGGGGAAATGGTCGGGGCCTACGGGGGCCCCGCAAAGAAACAATCAGGACGTCAGAGGTCCGGGCAGCCGAGGCTTTGAAAACTCCACCCGGAGAGAGCGAGAGGGAGGGGGGGAGCTCGGCTACACGTAAGACTGGCCCTGGGCAGGAGTGACCTCCAGTGCGCGGCCAAGGATGGGCCCCTTGGGGACACAACTAGGCGCGCAGGCCGCTGCCGTCGCATCGCATTCCGCGATCGGGAGGCCCCCATTGGGCCCGCAGCACAGGCCACTCCGGCGGAAGGTCACCTCGGCCCACGATGACGACGACGACGGCGGCGGCGGCGACGACGACGACGACGACGACGGCGGCGACGACGGCGGCGGCGGCGTCGGCGGCGACGACGACGGCGACGGCTGCATGTTCCTCGGGCGCGCCAGCGCAGTGGCACATCCGAGTCCCCGTATCGGGTGTTGCTGGAAGTACCCCCGGCCCAAGGTGCCCTCGGCCTTTCGCTCCATTTCGGGGCCCCAGGGGCCCTCTGGGCCCTGCGAGGGGGTGCCCTGGAGGCCGTCTGGGCCACCCCGAGAATCCTGGGGGTTCCTCGGGCCAAGGGTGCTTCTAGCAACACCCGACCGTGTTCGGCGGGCCCCGATCTCACTCGCTTCTGGGGTGGCGCCGGGCGCAGGGCCTGCTCCTGCAGCGCCGCGTCGGGGGGGGGGAGGAGCGGGAGGGGGCCTCGAGGGCTCGAGGGGCGCACGTGCAGGTGGCAGAACATTTTTTTGCGAGAAAGGAAAAGACGGCGCTCGTGAGTATCTCGAGCAGGGAACGACCGTCCCGGCATTCCTATAGGCCTACCACGACTTGTTCTTATTCTTGGAACCCCGACAGGTTCCAAGAACAAACACAATTCTCTTAGAACATAACCCCGATGTGTTTAAGCAAGACGGCCTCGGCCAGAAATATTCGAAGAACATTTCGTGCAGGTCAAAAAAAGTTCTCATAACATTGTTTGGTGGGTCTATGGGCACGCCAGGACGCTTCGCCACTGTTTGAATATCTGGATTGTCGTCTGGATTGGCATCGTGACTGGCCTCGGCCAGCATGTGCAGTGAACGACTGACAGTTGAGGCGAGCAGCATCTGATACTCGGGGCCAGGACGGGCTCTGCATGGCTCGAGGAGCGCGCGTCCTCGTTTCTGTACGACGCCTGGGCGTCGAGGCCCTCCCCTTCAAGGCCGGCCCTGGGGGCCCTGTCCTCTAGAGGGAGGCCTGGGCCAGGACCCCGAAGCTAGCGAGACCACGGCGACGATGGCCTCCGACAAAGGATCGCGCCGAGATCCCTCCGAGATGTCTGCATCATCCAGTAGGGGGACCAACAAACAGTTGCACAACAAATACATAATACTATACATGAAACTACACATGCAAATAATAGTACGAATGGTATTACGAATAGTAATAATACTACTATTAATAATCATACAACAATGATATTAGTACTGCAAATAATAAGAAAATTAATAATGGCAACAACAATAATCAGGGTACGACAAATTAAAAACACCAGTCGTAGTAGCGGTAGTAATAGTAGTAGTCGTAGTGGTAGTAGTGGTAGTAGAAGTAGTAGTAGTGGTCGTAGTAGCAGTAGTAGTAGTAGTAGTAGTAGTAGTAGTAGTAGTAGTAGTGGTGGTAGTAGTAGTAGTAGTAATAGTAGTAGTAGTAGTAGTAGTAGAAGTCGTAGTCGTAGTCGTAGTCGTAGTCGTAGTCGTAGTCGTAGTCGTAGTCGTAGTAGTAGTAGTAGTAGTAGTAGTAGTAGTAGTAGTAGTAGTAGTAGTAGTAGTAGTAGTAGTCGTAGTAGTAGTCGTAGTAGTAGTAGTAGTAGTAGTAGTAGTAGTAGTAGTAGTAGTAGTAGTAGTAGTAGTAGTAGTAGTAGTAGTAGTAGTAGTAGTAGTAGTAGTAGTAGTAGTAGTAGTAGTAGTAGTAGTAGTAGTAGTAGTAGTAGTAGTAGTAGTAATAGTAGTAGTAGTATAAGCACTCGGGGGTCCGCGCGGCTTCCTCGGACCGGCGCTGGGGCCCCCCTGGCGGTGCCTCCGGCGCGGGACCCCCTCCCCGGCGTGCTCCGCGCACCAGGGAGGGGGGGCCGGCGCCCGATCCGAGAAATCCGCGCGGGCCTCCATGTTCTCCTGCTTATGCCGCTCGTATGCAGTCGGGGCGTTGACCTAAAGAACGAACAATAAGGAACGAAGCCCCTCTTTCCTTAAGTGGAGCTTCGATGTTCGATCCGAAACCGAGGGTGAACCGAAGGCAAGCAGTAAAACAACTAGGGAACACGGAGCCCCTCCCAAACGAGAAGGGTTCCTTCTTCGGCGCCCCGGCTGTATGAAGGCGCCAGCAAGTCAGCTATGCTGGCACCGAGCACGTAGGGAGCATGAGCGCTCGGGCAGCACGTGCGCCTGCCAGCGCAGATTCTGGCCTGGCCCATTGCTCCTTCGGGAAGGTTTCATGATTATGTGACTGCTTGTTCCCCGCGTTACTCCAGCCCTGAGATCCTGGCGTCGCAAGCTGTTCGAGCCGGGCGGTTTCGCATGATGGTGGGCCCCAGGGCCATCACAGATCGAGCCGGCTCCGGAAGTGGCGCAACAAGATTTGAGGGTCCAGGGCTCGGGTCGTGACTGCTTCAGTGTTGCAAGTGCTTCGCGCCGTCGGGCCCCAGGAGTTGGGCGTGGACCCCCACTTGGCCTCACGGGGGTCTCCTGAGGAGGCAGGGGGGCTCCTCGGATGGGCTCGGAGGCCCACACGTCGTTCACTTCGAAATCGTGCTCACTTCTGACTCTGCTCGCTTCTAATGGTTCCTGGCCCCCCAGTGGCCAGGAAGAGGCCCAGGACAGCAGAAGCAGAAACGAGAGGATCCCGGCCCCCAAAACAATCGAAATAACACTTCCGAAGAATCAGCAACGAGCAACGTGTACGTCCGCCTGCGGAAACCCTGCATCCCCAAATTCGGCTACACGTAAGAGTGACCCTGGGTAAGAGTGGCCTTTGGTGCGCGGCTTTCCTGGGGGCCGCTGGGGGGCCAAACACAGGCGCGCAAGCAGCTGCTGCGCTTCGTTTTCGGCCATCTGGGGGCCCATCTGTGCCCGCACCAAAGGTCACTCCGGCGAAAGGTAACACCCCCGAAGAATCAGCAACGAGCAACGTGTACGTCCGCCTGCGGGAACCCCGCACCCCCACATCGTGGCATCTCCCCTTGAGGAGGAGGAGGAGGAGGAGGAGGAGGAGGAGGAGGAGGAGGAGGAGGAGGAGGAGGAGGAGGAGGAGGAGGAGGAGGAGGAGTTGGGAGGAGGAGAGGAGGAGGAGGAGGAGGAGGAGGAGGAGGAGTTGGAGGAGGAGGAGGAGGAGGAGGAGGAGTTTGCACTCCCGCCGCCCTGCCGCCCGCCGGCCCGCCGCCGCTCTGCTTCTCCGCGCCCGCCTCTCCGCCCCGCTTCTCTCCGCCCATGGCGCGCTGCGCGCCGCGGGCCGGGCCCTGAGGAGGACAGGGAGGAAGAGAAGGAGGAGGAGGAGGAGGAATAGCAAGGGGAGGAGGAGGAGTACGCAGGAGGAGAAGGAGGAGGAGGAGGAGGATGAGGAGAAGGAGGAGGGAGGAGGAGGGAGGAGGAAAGAGGAGGAGGAGGGGGAGGGAGGAGGAGGGGGAGGAGGAGGGGGCCCGGCCCGGCCGCTCCAAGGAGGCCCGGAGCCCTGCGTCGGGGAGGCGGCGAGCAGCGCTCGGCGCCGTCCGAGGGCCGCCCATCATCAGCGCCACCCCCCGACAAAAACCGATTCAAGGCCGATGATCGTTATCATTACTGTTCCTCCTCCTCCTCTTCCTCCTCCTCCTCCTCCTCCGCCACATCCGCCTCCTCTTCCGCCTCCCCCTCCTCCTCTTCCTCGTCCTCCTCCTCCTCCTCCTTCTCCTCCTCCTCCTCCTCCTCCTCCTCTTCCTCCTCACCCCCCTCATCCTGCCCTTGGGCCCATCCTGGGCTCCATCCTGGCCAGCCTCTCGAGCCGTGCTCGGCGCCGCACTGGAAGAGGGCCCCGCCGCAGGAGCGAGGCGCACATATATGGCAGAAAGGAGCGTCGGACTCCAGCCAGCCGTGGCGTCGGGGGGGGGGGGGGCTCGGAAAACAGCCGGAAAACGAGAGGAGGAGAAGGAGGAGGAGGAGGAGGAGGAGGAGGAGCAGCAGAGGGTGGTCTCTGGATGCCACCTTGAAGAAAGGCCGCACGCGCCCGACGACCTCGGTCCTCTACCTCGACCTTCGAGCCTCTATCCGAGTACTTCGATCGCCCACGATGAGGACGACGACCACGACGACACCGACATCGATTAAGACAACGACCACGACGACGACGATGACGACGGCGACGACGACGACGACGGCGACGACGTCGACGTCGACGACGGCGACGACCGTCCCGCTTATGAGTCCCGACGTTGTGAGCTTTCAATGCGGGGTCCCTACAGGGGCTCTTGACCCCATGCTGAGCGACTGGCTCCTTCCCGAGCTGCCACTTGGGGGCGAGCATAACGAATGAACCGCGTCTTGTTGAGGTCTGAATTTCCGCCTCACAGTCGACCCCTGGAACGGCCCACTGGCGCGTGCTGAACTGGATGTATCCACCCGTGGCGACGAGAAGCTGGAGCCCCAGAAATCAGGAAGAGCGACCAAAGACGTCGTGCCTCGACCCTGGGAGGATGCAGGAAGAGGAGTGCCCCCGATGTCGTGGTTCTGCGCTCACGGCGTAGAGCCTCTGAGGCCTCGAACCCTTTCCTTGGGACGGGGTTGTTCATCAGGTGTTGCTGACAGCCCCCAGGGCCTGGCAAGGGTCCCAGGACGCAGAAGATGGTCGACAAAACTTACGTGGAGATGTACTCACGACGACGACGCAAAGGCCCCTGAGATCTGCCGCCACGGAGAACACTTTGAACCATTACGGCCGGAGGCCTATGACTACCCCGTCTTGCTGCGGCATCTCTCGAGCCGGATAAATCCGAAGGGGCCCAAGGACACAGACATAAATACACACAAATGAAGAGATCCCCCACAGGTTCCCCTCGTTTTCGGGTTTCTGTCTTCCCCCCCACTTCCCATATTTTCCCAACAATTTGTTCCATATTTTCCCATGCTTTCCTGGGTCCTGGCCCGAAGCGGGGGCGGAAGCGCCCGAGGACAAAAACTGCAGCACAGCACACGCCGCCAGCCATCCGCGGCCCGGTCCCCGGCGCGAGGAGCCTCCAGGCTGCCCCCCCCCCCGCAGGCCCTCAGTGGAAGGGGCCCGCAAGGACACACAAAGAAAGAGACGCAACTAACAGGATTCCGCATATCTTCCCATGCTTTCTGGGTTTTTTTGTCTTCCCCCCACTCCCCATGTTTTCCATAGTTTCCCAGATTTTCTAGGGAATCGACGATTCATCGTGTCTGTGTGTTTCCTTCCCCTCCTGACTCAGAACGGCCAGAAACTTCCTGCTCGATACATGATTCAAACAGATTTGCACGCTGCAGGGCCAGCCTCCAGCCTGCACCCCGGCTCGGGCATGCCAGCACCCGCGAAACGACACGCGTCGGGCGCCAGGAGACTTGCGAGGGACGGCCACCAACCGTGGAGGCGGCTGGGGGGTCTGAACTGGATGGGCCCCGAGGAAGCCTGTCGAGCCTGCCCCCCCCCTCCCTCCCCTCCTGCTGGCCGCAACCAATACTGGGCCGCCTCAGACCACCAGCCGGCTCCAACACCAACCGAAAGACAACGGAGGGATGCAACAGAGAACCACGTCAACAGCGATTCCGCACATCTAGCTGGCATCCTGTTGAGTCAGAAGCTGTCCGGCGAGCGTGGCCGAAATTCGGGCCACCGATACGGGCAAGGAGGGAAGGTGCGAGTCGCCCTGCGTCGCCGACGCCATGAGCCGACGACGGATACTCTCCGCGGGCTCTGCAGCCCTTGGGGCCAGCCGCGTCCACCACGGCCCGAAGGACCGCAGCCGCGCTGTAGTCACGCCATCCTGGGACGGAGTCGGCTACACGCAGGAGTGACCCTGGGTAAGAGGTAAGAGGTAAGAGTGACCTTTGGTGCGTGGCTTCTTGGGTGCCGCGGGGGGGCCAAACACAAGCGCGCAAGACGCTACCATCGCAACGCGTTCGGCTATCGGGGGACCCCGGTGGGCCCGCCCCAAAGGTCACTCCGGCGAAAGGTCACTCTGACGCATAGTCGACGGAGGGAGGCACTCCGTGGGCACTGCGGCCCTGGTGGGGCAGCAACGCCCACCTCAGCCCGAAGGCCAGAGCCATGCTGCATCCCAACCCCTGCCGAAGCGCTCGCCGCTTGGCTGCTCCGATACGCAGCACGCAGCACGTGGCGTGCTGGCATGGTGCGCTCAGCACGCAGACCGACAGAGCAGGTCTGGTGCGACACGTTCGCCAAAACATGGACCGACACTTGCCGAGCCACCAGCCACCACGCAGCGCGTTGACACGGACGTCTTGAACACACGCGTTGCGTTTCAAAATGGGCGTATCAGGGCAGCTAAACTAGAGGCCTTCTACATGGGGCCAGACTAGCTGGGGTCGGAGGATCGGCGACGTCGGCGATGCATCCGGGACGTCCGCGTGAAGAAAATCGGGCTCCGCATCGAGCCGCATCGGCGATGCGGCGCGATCCTCCGACCCCATCTACTCGGACCCCATGCAGGAGGCCTAGATAAGCTGCTCCAGTGCGCGGCGAAAGTGCCCTCGCCAACCAGCGCTGGGACGGAGCTCAGCTCAGCCCCGAAAAACGCCTCCAGGCGCCTGCTGCGCCCCGAGGCCCCGACGCTCGAACGAGTGGGGCCCCCGAAACCGCTGCTTGTGGCGCCCAAGGGCCGCCGACGGGCAACGGCAGCCTGGGCCCCCTTCCCTGGCACCGGCGCTTGACACCGAATCGTGCATTGGCGGTCCTGGGGCCGTCCGTGCCAAGGGCCGAAGACAGTCAAACAGTGTACGTCGTGATTTTTCTCCACGGCGAGAGGAGGTGGGCGAGAGGAAGGAGAAGCGACATCACCACCACCACCACGACCAGCGTGAGGCGCTAGGGAGGGTCCTCCTGGTGGTGTGGCCCCCCGCCTCTCGCTCGAGGCACCCTCCGTCCTCAGCTCGGGGAAGCACCGCGGGCCCCCATTGCTGGAGGTGGCCCCATGATTTGCCACCGGAGAGGGAAAGGAGGATGAGGGAGGAAGCGGATGAGGGAGGAGGGAAGAACGAGAGAGAAAGAGAGAGATAGCTATATGTTAAATACATGTATGTACATATCTACACATATGTTTATATGTCTACTTCTAGTTAAAACCACATATGTAGACAGAACGAGAATCCGCGGCCTCGGTGGTCGGGCCCCGGGCCACGACCCCGCGGATACGGGGCGCCTCTCTGCGGACGCCTCGAGCGGAACGGGCCCGTGCAACCGCGTGTCCGCGAGATCGCGCCCCGGGATCCAGACCGCGAGGGCGTGGATCTTAGATCCGCGACGTCATGATTTGTTCGTAGCGTCGACCCCCAGAGCTCTCGACCCATCCCCCAGGACCGTTTTTTCATCCTGGGTTGTTTTTTGACGGTCCCGAGGCCGGTACGGGCCCCCAGAGGCCGAGAATGGCGAAAACCCCCCCGTTGTGATTTGTCATAACTCGAGGGGGTCTGGGATACGGATACGTTCGCCGCCCGTGACACATGTGCCGTCGGCCCGGGCGCGGTCCGAAGCGGCAGCGGCCCGGTGCTGAGCCCCTCGGTGGCCGCCGGCGGCCGCTGGCCACCCGCGTTCGGGCGGTCGCCGCCGGCCTGGTGGGGCGCCGCCGCCGCCGGGCCCCCAAGTAGGCAAGACGCAAGCAAGCAGTGGAACGGGCGCAACACAGGACAGCAGTCGAGCAGAAACCTGGTCAGCCTTGCGCCACCAAGGGGGCTGGCGGGCACACGCACACGCACACACACACACACACGAACACACACACACACACACACACGCACACGCACACGCACACGCACACGCACACGCACACGCACACGCACACGCACACGCACGCGCACACGCACACCCACACACACACACACACAAAAAACACACACACACAAACACACACACACACACACAGACACAGACACACACACACACACACCGTATCATATGTACATATCTGCATGCAGGCACAACACACAAACACCGAAGCACCCTGCAGATGCGGATAAGAGTGAGGGGGCGGTGGAGACGTCGGCAGTCTTCGAGACTCTGGAGAAACCCGCCGCAGGCGCTAAAATTTCACAAATTATGCACCGAGCCCGCCGCAGGCGCAGTTCGCGGATGGGTCGCGGTGGGTCGCGGGTAGGTCGCGGATGGGTCGCCGGAGCGGTCGCGGGTGAGTCGCGGGGTGGGTCGCGGGTGGGTCGCGGGGTGGGTGGTCGCTGGTGGGTCCTGGGATGGGTCGCGGGGTGGGTCGCGGAGCGGGTCGCGGGGTGGGTCACGGGTGGGTCGCGGGGGGGGACGACGACAACAATTAACAACAACAACAACAACAACAACAACAACAACAACAACAACAACCACGACGACAACGACAGCGACAACGACAACGACAACGACAACAACAACAACAAAAACAACAACAACGACAACAACAACGCAACAAGCATAATCCTCACCACGGATTCCCACTTCAGCAACGCCGCGCACCGAGGGACAATGAATGACCGTTCGGCCCCCTCGCTCTGATAGATGCATATCTGTACAGAGGTGTGTAGGAACAGATGTGTGCACACATAAGCATATGAAAGCATACATCGGAAAGAACGCGCTTGTGGCGCACTTCTCATTAAAAGAGGGGGGCCCAGCTTCAAGCTACGCCCCCCTCCCTTGGAAAAGGGGGGGGTTCTACCCCCCTCCTCGTCTTTTGTTGGGCAGTTCTAAGCTGGCGGGGCCTTAGCCCCCGAGTCTGTTTCTTTATGTTCGGCGATGACGGGCGTCATGGGGGGGGGGAGGCAGGGGGGGGGGGTATGACGTAATGCCCCCCCCGCCGTGTGGCTCTGGCACCACAGCCGCGCCCGCGCGCACGACGCGACGAGCGACGAGCGACGAAGACGACGTCGACGACGACGACGACGCGATCGGCATGTAGGTGGCGATATGCCCCACTGCACCTGTGTACACCACAACGCTCGCGTGCACCACAGTGCGCGTGTACACCACACCGCCTGCGTACACCGCAAAAACCGTGTGCAACGCAGCGCCTGTGTACACCACAGTGTTTGCGTACACTACAGCGCCGGCGTACACGTGTACACCGCAACAACCATGTGCAACACAGCGCCCGTGCACACCACAGTGCTCGCGTGCACCGCAGCGCCTGTGCGCGCCATATCGCCCGTCTACACCACAGCATCCGTGTGCAACGCAGCGCCGTTGTACACCACGCTGCCTGCGTGCATAGGACAGGTCGAAGGAACATGTACGTGAGGATCTGCTGCGGAAAACTAAACGCCACGCCAGGAAAGTGTTGATATTCGAATGCGACGTTCTTCCCTCCTCCTCCACCTCCACCTCCACCTCCACCTCCTCCTCCTCCTCCCCGTCCTCCTCCTCCTCCTCCTCCTCCTCCTCCTCCTCCTCCTCCCCCTCCTCATCCACCTCCTACTTCTCCTCCTCCTCCTCCTCCTCCTCCTTACCCTTTGTCGTGCGGGTTGGCGCTAAAGCGCACGTGCGCATCTCAGCGTGCACCGCAGAATGGTCTATTGAATTGGTCCACTTGGTTCTCGGACGGCCAATTTAGCTGGAGCCTTCTGGACGCATATAGGAGGAGTTAGGGTGATGCGGGCGGTCCCGGAAGGACTTGTAGATTCCAGCGGCGCTCCGTTTTCCACACGAATTCGTTTTCATTGTTTTCGATGGAATCCTCAAGCGCTCCATTTTGTCATACAAATTCCTTCGAGCATTCTATATGCAACAATGGGGCTGTGTTGCAAACGGTTTTTGTTGTGCACACAGGCGCCGTGGTATACACAGGCACTGCAATGCACGCAAGCATTGTGGTGTACACTGGTGTTGTGCTGCGCACGGCCGATGTGGTTTACGCAAGCGAAGTGGTGTACACAAGAGCTGTTGTGCCCGCGAGCACGGTGGCACAAACAGACGGTGAGTTGCACGCGGCCGCTGTGGTGTACATAGGCGGTGTGGTGTACACAGGCGCTGTGGTGCAAGCAAGCACTGTGGTGTAGGCAGGCGTTGTGGTGCAGATCGCCACCTACATGCTGGTGCTACCCGTCCTTCGTCTTTCATAGGCGCGAAACGTGACGTCATCGACCCCGTCCACCCCCCCCAGATGATTGCCGCCATCGGACCAGAATCAAAAAACAGGCTCCAGCCGCGTCCGCGCGCACGACGACGATGAGCGACGAGCGACGAGCGACAAGCGACGACGACGACGACGACGGCAACTGCGGACCAGACTCCTATGCGGATTCCTACGCGGAAACCTACGCAGATCCCAATGCGCACGGCGGCAGTGCCCAGAGCGCACTGGGTGGGGGAGCGTTACGTCATAGGGGTGGGGGAGCGGGGGCCATGACGCCCGTCATGCCCCAAGCAAGAAAGAAACGGGCTCATTGGTTTGCCAGGGGGGGCGGCTTCAAAGCTACCTCCCCCCGAGCTGATCCGTGATCCGTTGGTTTTGTGTGCCCCTGTTGTTTTCGGCGCGTTCTTGGTTTTTGGCGCTGTGTTGGATTTCGGCGCTGCCATTGTTTTCGACGATCGTTTGATTTTCGGCGTATCTGTTGGTTTTCTGCGCTCTTTGGTTTTCGGCGTTCGGTTGGTTTTCGGCGCCGGTTGGGTTTCGTTGCTCCTTTGCTTGTGGCGCTCTTTCGGTATTGGCGTCCAGTTGGTTTTCAGCGCCCGTTTAGTTGTCGTCGCCCTTCTGGGTTTTGACGGTTCCTTGGGTTTCGGCATCACTTTGGTTTTCGGTTTGCTTTGATTTTCGGAACTCTTTCGGTTTTCGGCGCTCTGTTCGTATTCGGCGCCTTCTAGGATTTCGGTGCCTCCTTGGTGTTCGAATATTTGTTTGCTGCTGTGCGCTCCTTTGGATTTCGGCGCGTTTTTGGTTTTCGTCGCCCTTTGGTTGTAGGCGGTCTTTTGGATCTCGGAGTTTTCCTTTAGCTACAGGGGGGGGATCTCCAAGCCAGTCTCCTCCTTTAGCCGAGCAGGGAGGGAGGCGGGGGGGGGGGGGGGCTTCCGGCAAGGATCGCCTCAGGGAGAAAAAAAGCGTCCATGTGGTTTTCGGGGCCGCTCCAGTATTCGGCGCATCTTTGTGGGTTCTCAGCGCATTGTTGGTTTTCGGGGTCATTTTGGAGTTCTGTGTTCTTGTATGTTGTTTTGCGCCTTTTTGTTGTCGGCGGTCCTTTAGGGTTTGTCGCCTCTTTGGACCTTGGCGTTCGAAGGTTTTGTTGGCGCTCTGTCGGTGTTCGGCGAGCCGAAGGTTTTCGGCGTCTGATCGATTTTCGGCGCCTTATTTGTTTTCGGCGCTCATTTGGTTTTCGGCGCTCCTTCGGTTGTCGTTACATTTGTAGTTCTCCACGCTGTCTTGGTTTGTTCGGGTTGCTTGGATCTTCGGCGACTCTTGTTGTTTTCGGCGCCCTTTGTGTTTGCGGTGCTCCTTTGGTTTTCGACGCCCTGTTGGTTGTCGGAGCATACTTTGTTTTCGGCGTCCCTTCGGTTTGCTGCGCTGCTGTGGTTGTCGGCGCTCTTTTGGTTCTCGGCGCGTTGTTGGTTCTTTGCTTTTCGGGGTTCTCTCTTTTGTGTGTTCGGCGCCTTTTTGGTTTTCGGCGCTCATTTCTCTTGACTTTCGGAGCGGGAAAGGGTGAGGGGTAGCCGTCGAGGGGCGAGAAAAAATGGGGGGGGCGGGGGAGAGGCGGGAAGAAGGAGGACGCGACCTCAATGATCAAGTCAAAACGAGAACCCAACGCAGGAATGTTGGGAAATTCATAATGTATTTATTTATTTGTTTACGCATTTATGGATTCATTTCCGATTTTGCCTTGTCACTTCTGCCCGTCACATGGCGACGCTTGGAGGGCAAACTAACCGAGTGATGTTCAATGGGCCACGGAATACCAAAAAGAAACAGAGACGTACTAGACTACGCTACGAGCCGTGTGGCAGCGCCGAGGGCAGCAACGAATGGTATGTATCGCATTTCTCTAGAATGGAAACGCCGCGCAGCGACGACAAGGACAAGAACAGAGCGGACACGCAGATAGCAAAAGCACTTCTAACTCAATACCTCGCGCTGCACTAGGTCGACGCGCGACGACGGCACCGCCGACGAGGACGACGACGGCCACGGCGGCGGCGACGAAGGCGACCTCCAACAACGAACGAGTATGCGGACGACGAAGACGAAAGCGACTACGAGCCTACCCGAAAGGACGACGCTGACGAAGACGACGGCAACTAAGCTCACGAAAGCTCCCCCCACCCTTGGAAAGTTAAGCCTGGACTCGTGTGGGAAACCAAACAAGAGGGGGTGGGGGGAGCATCCGAAGCCCCCACCCCCATAAGCAAGGGGGGGGGGGGAGGTAGCTTCCGACGACCCCTCCCCCTTTGCAAAGGGCGGCCCGAGCAGAACTACCCCAGCACCGAAACGGATGAGGGGGGGAGCTTCCGAAGCCCCCGCCCCCTCACCCTCATTGTCCCAAGTTGCTGAGGGGCGGGGTTAGCTTCGGAAGCCGCCTCCCCTTGGTGAAAGGAGGGGAGGGGTAGCTCGGAGCAAGGCCCCCCTTTTGTTCTTCGGGTCCACCGCAGCGCACTTTCGGAGCTTCGCTGCAAAAGAAAACGTAGGCCGCATCAGGGCGCTAGCGCCCGGAACCGCTTCCATACAAACAATACCTATATCCCCAAAATGTACGAGGTAATATTCAACCACGGCCAATAGAAGGTTTCCAAAGACCCCCGGGAGGTCCCTGGAGGTCCCCAGAGGACTCCTCAGGCCTAGGAAGCCACGAACATTTGTCAAAACGCACAGCAAAGACATCGATCACCAAACCACGATCGACATGAGGGTCCCGCCGACTGGGCAGCCAAACGAGCTCGCGAGTTGGTAGAAGTTGATCCCGTTTGATAACTTAATGGACTCAAAGGCAAACCAGGTCGTCTAGCTCGCCAGAGAGATAGAAGAAATTACAGAAGCCCCAGCCTCCCAAGCTTTTGGAGGATGGAGCGTCTACGATCAAGAACTTTTGCTTAGCGTGTCGCCACGGCGGCCCCGATGACACGCTATGCCTTGCAAGCGGATGGCGTGTCGCTCCGCTCCGCGGGACGGCAGTTTCAGCAAAGCTCAAGACGCTGACGCCCTAGACCCAGGGCGTGGCTAGCGTGTTGCGCTGAAGCGCAATGGGCCAGAACTGGCGGAGCGACACACCAAAAACCCCAGCCGTGTGCACCGAACTCCCTGACAGGCCAAGCATCGCGGAGCTTACACCGAGAGCCCCTCCGACCTACACCTCGGCAAAAGAACTCGCGCAGAGATGAGCGCGCCGAAAGCGTCGCCAGCCTTCTGGCACGCCTGACGCGGGCACGGAAAAAATACATCGCCTTGGAAACATAGTGCAACTTTAATCATCGAGGTGCTTGTTTTCGTCGTCGTCGTTTTTCGTAACGTTTAGCCTCCAGGGGTCGTTTTCGGGCCCAACGACCGTCAGAAACGGACCCAGGATGAACAAAACCACTCCCATTGGAGTCCCCTGGATGATTTTTCGACGCGACCTGCAAAACTTGCATTTGTTACTTCTCCGAGGGGGGTGCAGGTGCGATGGTCAAAAGCAAATGCTATCCTAAACCGTCCGTGGCCGCTGCTGGGCAGGTGACTTCCTGTCTCAAGTGGACAACGTCCGCGTCGACACCGACAGCGAGTCCTGCTCAGAATGGGCACGAACTGCTGCCAGTCTTCGTACAGATCCTTCCCCTACCCCTCCCCGATCGTGCCGAGCCCTGACGCGAGAGGGGTGTCCGGCGCCGACCGAAGGCAGCCGCGCGGACCTCCGAGAGATCCTGGCTGTGCCTGTTTTCCTTCCTCAGCTCGATCGCTCGACCCCCGATCGATAGATCCACCACAGAGTTGCCTTGGAGCAGCAACGAGCCCTGAAGGCAACGGTCCCTGGACCCTGCGCCCCTCTCCCATGGACCGTCTCTTCATCATCACCCCGAGTGCTCCTGCCGGGGATCCGCGTGTTCCCGGGTCCGTCCGGCCCTGCAGGACCCTGCCAGGAAGGATCCTGCGGGTCCTGCGCCCGGGCCCGGGGTCGGTGCGCCGCTGGCCCCGCAGGCTCCTGCAAGACCGGGCGCTCGGACTGACCCCCGTCTGCATCGACTCCCGTCGCTTGGGCCCCTATTCTGTTCACGGCCCCTGAGCTCCGGGGGGCCGGGGGAGGGCGGAGAGCCGGAAAGCGGAGATAAAAGCGCCAGCCCCCCCCCCCTTCCATGGGATGACCCTCTCTGGCTCGACCCGGCGGGGAGCCCCCGGGGAGAGCGTGACGAGGGGCACGCCTCCCGCAGAAGAAGAAGAAGGGCGGGGAGTCTCAGAAGCCCCGCCGCCCTCTGAGAGGGCCTGCACCCTCACTCCCCCCCCCCCGGGGCTCGCCGCCGATCAACGGCGAGCCAGAGCAAGCGCCCCTGCGGCCTCGACGGCGTACGGCGCCCGGCACACCTCGCAGCGGTCTTCCGGCTGCAGCGCGCGCCACCGGTTCAGGCAGCTGGCGTGCGCGAAGGCGAGCGAACCCCTCGTGGAGACCGCGCGTGCGGCACGACGGCGACGAAGACGACGCCGACGCCGACGACGGCGCCGACGCCGACGCCGCCACCGACGGCAAACACGAATGCCTCCGAAGGCCGCCGACGCCCCCAGCCAGCCAGGACATCGCCGTCTGGGGGTTGAGGGAGGGAAGGGAAGGGAAGCGAGAAGAGGATAGTGAGGACAACGAAGAGATGGAGGAGGAGGAGGAAGGAGGAGGAGGAGGAGGAGGAGGAGGAGGGATGCCTGAAGGAGGGAGGGAGGAGGGAGGGAGGGAGGGAGGGAGGGAGGGAGGAGGAGGAGGAGGAGGAGGAGGAGGAGGAGGAGGAGCGGAGCACGTGTCGCTGAAGGGGGCCGCGGCCAGAGTTTGGAACCGACGATCAAGAGTCAGACCCCGAAGCAAATGCTCAGAGCCTGACCCCAGCTGGTGGCGTAGCACACCATACAGTGAGCCAACATGTCTATAGTTGGTTCGTGTGAAAACTCTGGGCATTCCGAAAGGAATTCAGAAGAATCTGATGAAACTAAACGATGCAGAACCGACCCATCGGTCCGAAACCGTGGCATACAGAGAACCCACCAAGCCGAGCTAAACCGAATCTGAGGTCGAAGATGAGTTGTGGCGCGCGGGCCGTCAACAGAACAACCGAAACCACATGGGACCGTCGGGCTAGGGATCATGTGCGTTCTGGCCACTGTGGCACATTCTCCTGAAAGGCAATCACATGCAAACGAACGCACCTCAGGGTTCCGTTGTTCAGTTGGACCTAGGCCAGGAGGAAAGCATCCCTCGAGAGCCAGGGACCCTCTGTCGGCCAGAACAGACAGGACATCCAAGGGTACGCCTCCCCAGGATGCACAAGAACATCCAACAAACTCGAAGAACACGAGGGTACTCTCCACGAACCGACCTCGGTCTTGTACCTCGGTCCGACTGTACAAGGAGGAGGCGGAGGAGGGAGGAGGATGAGGAGGAGGAGGAGGAGGAGGAGGAGGAGGAGGAGGAGGATGGGAAGGACGAAGAGGAGGAGGAGGAGGAGGAGGAGGAGGAGGAGGAGGAGGAGGAGGAGGAGGATGGGGGAGGAGGAGAAGGAGGAGGAAGAGGAGGAGGAGAAGGAGGAGAGGAGGAGGAGGAGGAGGCGGAGGAGGAGGAGGAGGAGGAGGAGGAGGATGGAAGGACGAAGAGGAGGAGGAGGAGGAGGAGGAGGAGGAGGAGGAGGAGGAGGAGGAGGATGGGGAGAAGGAGAAGGAGGAGGAAGAGGAGGAGGAGGAGGAGGAGGAAGAGGAGGAGGAGGAGGGGAGGAGGAGGAGGGGAGGAGGATGGAAGGACGAAGAGGAGGGGGATGAGGAGGAGGAGGAGGATGGGGAGGAGGAGAAGGAGGAGGAAGAGGAGGAGGAGGAGGAGGAGGAGGGCGCTGCGCAGAGAGCGCGCCCGGCGAGCGCGAAGGGGGCCCGCAGCGGGCGGCGACGGGGCACTCCGGGCCTCTGGGCGGCGCTGCAGCGCCTGCCGGGAGGTGTCTGGGTGGCAGGGCGCCAGGCTGCGCGCCTGAGGGCCTCCCCCCCCCCGGGTGGATCCGGGTGGCCTCCGCAGGCCACCCGAGTTCGAGTAGGGCATCGACCACAGAATATCAATGCGTTCCAGCACTGATTCTCCGCCGACGTCTACAAACGAATGCGACGAACGCTCCACGGAGCATTCGTGGACTCGGCGAACACACGAATTTTTGGGGTGCGTCGACTCTGTAGTCGATCCCCTACTCGACGAATGGTCCCACCTGGCATCAACTGGCCCCGCGAGTAGCCCAGGGCGGTCTCAACACCCAAACCCGAGTGCGCAGAGTCAAGGCCCCCTAAATCTGGATACGCTAGACCGGGACATCCAACATACCTCGAAATCACTTTTTGCCGACGGCGGCACGAACAGAAAACTGCTCTGCACAAGAGGGCGTCACGGACAAACACTCTACAACATTCCTGGAATAAACGCGGACAAGGGCAATTCAAGTCTGCAGAACCTCCACCAGACCCAGGCAAAGACCCGAATCCTACAGCGCAGCAAAAAGAAAAGACACTGGACGACCAAGTGCAGCAACGAACAAATGCACTGGGCGACCAAGTTCTCACTTTGCAGGAACGGGTGTCCTTTTCCGGATTTGCCAATGTCCAGGTTAGTCTCTTGGATGCCATGACAATGGACACCCTAACAGTCCTATCATTGAATTAAAAAATGTGTTGTACATCTAGGAAAGATGGTATAAACATGTTTCAAACATGTCTGTTTTCACATGCTTGCAACATGTTTAGCACATGTTTCAGACATCCGGAAATTATTTGCCAGCATGCTTCCTCTCCATGGATTCTCTTCCACAAAGTTAGTCTTTGTCCTTGCCTCGGGGGGGGGGGCTGACGGAGCGCCCCAGGGGCGCCGCCGGAAGCGGCGCTGGGGCGTTGAGACCGCGCGGGACTGCTCGGGGGGGCCGGCTGAGGCCAGCTGGGACCGACTCTTCAGGGGGCCCTGTGGAGGCCCGCCAGGCCCACCCGAGCGGTCCTCGTCCGAGCAGCCGCTGATCGCCGAGGCGACCCATCTGCTGCAGAGCGCGCCCATTGGCCACGGCCGGCCCACGGCCACGCGCGCCCCGCGGCGCACGCGCGCCCGCCGCGCGGAGAGCTGCAGGTCGCAGCTGCGGGCGCCCCGCCCCCCCAACCCTGCCAGGGCCCTCTCCGCTCGGCGCTCGGGCGGGCGCGCCGGCCAGGACGGCGGTGAGGGGTGGGCAGCCGCCAGCTGTGGAGCCGACATCGCGCCGTGGGGAGCTCGCCAGAAGTCCGCCCGCCAGTCTCACCACCGGGCCTGCGCCTTCTCGCCGCCGACCCGTGGCCACATGGGCAGCTCGTCACATCGCCACCAGAGAGCTCGCCAGCCAGCGCCGACAGGTCCGCCTCGGCGTGCGTCTGCGGGGGCGGCCTCAGGGCAACGTGGAGCGCGTCGAGCGCGCAGTGTGATGCCGAGGAAGGCCGGCAGCGTGATGCCGCTGCTAGGTCGAAGCGAGCCGTCGGCAGAGGCTCCAGCGATGGAGACGTCTCGAAGCACCTCCATGCACTTCGCACCAGATTCGGCCCCTTGGCTCCAGGGCCCACCACTGCCCCCAAGTAATTCGGGAGCGGGGTCCTGAATATGCACCTGGGGCCAGGAGGGAGCGCACCACGAGAGCATCTGCTGCGCCCTCCGATCCACCCGAACCCAACGCCGCCCGTGGTGCTGTTGCGCCGATGTTTTTTGCAAAAGGGCCGAGTCTACGCGTGCGCTCGAACACCTCGTCGACCCCCGCAGCGAGCTTCACGGGGCGAGGGCACACGCGGGCGTCATCTGGCGCAGCCGCCAGCTCCGCCTTTCGAGCGGTGAAGAGCGGCAGCCTGGCGCCCAGCCGAGATGACCGAAGGCAGCCTCATCGAGAAGCCATCGTCCCAGGGCGGGGGCAGAGGAGGATGACCCACGGCGAGCTGGCCATGGGACAGCTCTGGGCGTCACCCGCCGCGGTGACAAGGAGCCTGAAGGCGCGGTCGTCAGGTTCGACCCAGCGCTAGTGGTCCTCATGAAGCGCGTCAACCAACATGCTGACGTTCCCACACGCTGGTATGCATCGAGACCGCCCTCGGCGACTGCCAGATGGCCGAAGGGAAGACCGTGGCTAAGTCGACGGTGGCTAAGACTCGGCGGGCGCTTGCAAGTACAAACGCTGCCAAACAAACAACTCGTTGCCATCAGATCCATCTGCCAAATGTCTTCTGCAAAGGTATGTCCATGCATGAAGCCCTGCTGCGCGCGATGACACAGATGATGCGATCGGCTTGAGGTGAGAGATCGCCAGGAGGCCCACGATGTACCCAGTTGAGTGTGGAGCACAAGGGGACGCGTCTTGTCCGCCTGGCGTATGGCCTGGCCTCCAGTATAAACCACCCCATCCGGCCTCCCTCGGGATGAACGCCATCAGCGCGGGGTTGAAGCAGTGGGGCGCAGGCAGACCGACCCTCGTGGAGGCAGCCCGACGCCCTGAGAGCCGCCCGCGATGCGCGGGGCAGCCCCCCCGGGCTGGCATCTGGAGGGCGAGCTGCCCCATCCGGCCGCGGCGAGACGGCCTTGTCCGAGCCGAGGTCGGGGTGCCGCGCCTGCGACGGCCTCCGTGTCTGTGCAGCGCCCGGCCTCCCTCTGGGCCGCCCCGGCGCGCGCGGGCGCAGCTCGCGCGCCAGCGGTCCGCAGGTGCCCGCGCCATCGCAAGAGCATCTCGAGCGGGCTGCCCTCCTCTGCGCCGACGCCGTCGGGATGCCGAGGGGGTGGAGACACCAAAAGGCACCGATACCGCTACTCCCCGGACCTCTCCCGGGGTGCGCTCTGCCCCGAATTTCGAGGCGAATCCGGCGGTGGCGACAAGGGCCTCCCAGTAGGCCCCGAAAGAGGGAAAACGAGAGAAAGATCCAGACATGCGACGTCCTGATTTTTCAGTGCGGCGTCCCCGAAGCCCAGACCCTCTCCACGGGGCCGTTTTTTCATCCTGAATCGTTTCTTGACGGTCCTGGGGCCCAGCGAGGGCCCCCCAGGGCCGAAAATGGTGAAAAGGTTGCCGTCCTGATTTTTGTTGTCGACGCGATCATGTCTGAGGAGTAGGAGGAGGAGGAGGAGGAGGAGGAGGAGGAGGAGGAGAGGAGGAGAGGAGGAGGAGGAGAGGAGGAGGAGGAGGAGGAGGAGGAGGGACAGGTGGCTGGATGCCGAGGGAGCAGGGCGGTGGGGTGCTCGGCAGCGGAGCGCGCGGCTCGAGAGGCCGGAGCGGCGCAGCGCGAGAAGCCCGAGCGAACGCGCCACGGCGGCGCTGCCGAGGCCAAGGCGCGCGCCTCCCTCTCGAGGTCACGCGGGGGGTGGAGGAGGAGGGGGAGGAGGGGGAGGAGGAGGAGAGGAGGAGGAGGAGGAGGGAGGAGGAGGAGGAGAGGAGGAGGAGG